TCTTATTGATAAAATCTGTAAACAATGTCATTGCAATTATTTAAAAGGTTGAATGAAAGCTACGAATATCGGAGACATTGCTAGAAATTTCAAATATTTTTGAATTGTGTAAAAGTAAATTTTGAAGACATGTTCTTTTAGTATGTGCATGTTTGGTGAAAATTCCTTATGGTGAATAATTGTCTATCATTTTCTCTCTCTCACTCTCTTTCCCTCTTTCTCTCATATCAATTAGGACCGGAATTGGCGCAATATGATATATCCTGTGACGGAAATGATAAAACTGATCAGCTATTAATTGATGAAAAGGAAGTTGTTGAAAAAATAGTTGTAGTAAAGTGGTATAGTAAGATAAAGCAGGAAAAGGGAGAACAAAAGAACCAAGCCGAGTGCAAAAAAGAGCAGAATATTTTGTAACCGTATCGACACTTGCGCTACCGTAATGCTTTTTTTTCCCAATGTTATTTTTTTAATTTCTTATTTTGGAATAGAACAGCAGTTTTCAATTTATTGTCTTTTCAATGCCTTTACTCGTGGTTAACATTATTTACTTACTTTTTCCATGAATTTACAGAAAATTTTAATAAATTTATGAGCAATTTCACAATTTTAGTTATTCTCGATCAAGTTAATACTCCAATACAATTCACTTTTATTAAATCTTATCTGAAAAATGCGAAATTGGAAAAACAGTAGCAACAGATTATGCAATTCAAATTGATGTACTTGTAACTTCAAGATTATTACAAATCTATTCACTGTTAAGTTTAACTTTTCTGGTTTGGTGAAATTTTAAAATGATAATGCCCTATCATCTTTGAATCTTTTGCTTCACTTGCGAGAGGAAGAAGAAGGAAAGAGAGATTTGCTGAAGAATTTTTCTGTCGTATTTCTTTTCAAAAGATTGACGGAGGGTGAGGTATAGCATTTTTCGAATTTGAATTCTGTCGATTGTGGCAAGAAGAATTCAAAAAATTGAAGGCGGCATTGGTAAGTCATGTTATTTCATCTCATAGCAGAGGTCAGAGAAATGATAAAAAGGTCGGGAAGAAAGGAATAGATTTGAGTCCTAAAACATTTTTACCTTTTCCCTTCATTTTTTTTGCTCTCTTATTTCCACCTTTAGACATATCAATTGATATAGCAAAACAAATGGTTAGAATATAACTTTTTTTTTTGAAAGTAGTTGATCGGTTTGTATCCAACGTACAATTAATGAAGTCTTCGGTAAAGTCACAAAAAATCGTTGAATTTCTCGCACCATTCCGATATCTAATACTTTTTCCTTTTTTTTTCGTATAAAACCGAAGTTTTTTTCAAAATAACGAAAAACTGCAATAAAAGAATTAAAGTTTTTGCCACGTCGTTAGCATTGTCCTCTATCATCATAGTTAATGATATTGTAGGGCTCCCAAATGCACTGGAAAATATATCAGTTGTCATAGGTTAGTATGAATTTATAGAGACTAAAAAAAAATAAAAACAACTTTCTTTTTCTTCTTTTTGAGGGAAAGTAAACTACTGCGAGAAATCTTTTGTTTATGGAAGAATTTAAGTGAGAGAACTATCTCGGTTTGAACTTGGTCCTACCGGGAAAATCATATATTAAAATTATTCAGGAGACTTGTAATATTATCAGATAAGATATTGCAGGATTACGAATTCATTTGTTGCAAAACAAACGAAAAAAAAAACGGAAATTTATCTCAAAGTCGTTACCTTCAACATATAAATGGCTTCATTTTGTAATATGCTCTTGCTAAAAATGATCGTAATCTAAATTAGCATAGTGCAATTTGATTTTTAGTCTTGTGTTCAAAGACCGTATAATTTCCTTTAGACTTTTAATTTTTAAGGAATAAAACTTAAATTAATCATATTCATTGTGAAGAGAAAGCGATGTACTGGATAGTTCTCATTGTGGAATGTATTATCTTTCATAGCTCTTTTCCTCTGGACTAACATTTTCTTTATGATTGATGAAATCCTAAAGCATTTTACAGCAAATGATTGGATTGAGATTACTGATAATATCATGCTAAATTTAGATATCTATGGCAAATACAAATATGGCGTTTTTCTGTCACAGTGATGGGAAAGTTACTCTCCATGATCTTAATAAGATATTAACGCCCAAAAAGTGTATATTTTTTGATGGTGAATTTTTGATGATTTGCAAAATTCACATGTGATAGGTGGTAAATTTTGATTGGTGTAAACATGGCCCAATAATGTGTTCAAAGAGTTTGTGCAAGCGTTTCGTGCATCCTTTTGACAATTTCAACAGATTGCAATTTATATTATTCTCAAGTTGCTTCAGCTAGACTAAGAGGTAAAGCAGGAAAGAAGGATAGATCTTTATCAAGGAGTTTAGTAGGGTATGGCCACAAATAAATTCTCAAGAAGAACTTGCGATATCTAGTTAATCTACCAGGTGGCAAGAAAAAAATGGTCGATTCCTTTCAATCTTTCAAATATTATATTTATTTATTTTTTGATTGCCCATAAGCATTTTAAAAAAATGGAAATTTTTTTGCCTTTTTTTTTTGCTGTTATGAAAGAATTTGCACAAAAATAGTAATCAGAACTTGAGGAATCTTATCATCATGCAGCTCTCTGACAAAAAAATACACATTAAAGCATTGTTTGCAGTTCTATCCAGCAATTAATAAAACAAACTTTGCTAAAGCTTGAGTTAGAAAAATTTTACATTAATGACCAAATTATCATGTTATATTGTGAAGATAGTGAATGTTCTAATTTGGAAGCAAAGTCTCGAAAATATATATAGTCCCATTTTCTTCTCATCACATATCATCACATCTGCCGTCTTATTAGCTAATGAGTTCCAATGAGTTCACAAGCTCATACACATCCAGATTATATCCTGAATTATTATTTTGTTTAACAATCGAGAAAAAAAGACCTCCTACATCTGTGCATTTGCATCGTATGTTATTGTTTCCTTTTCTCTCCAATTTATTTTAAAACGAGAAAACACTATCGGACTATAATAATAAGTTCACTAAAATAGATCAAACTTCAGTTATTTTTAAATTTAAAAAATAATTTTGATTTAGTATGGTTATAAAAGTGGGCTTTCATGAAAATTCTCTTTACTCATTTTAGATTATAGCAAGGAAAGATACCATATAAAGTTTTTTAGTCAAACTTTATCAATGTTAAGTTTGTCAGAAAGTTTGAATTTTTACTTCGTGACATAATGGCGTAAAATTTACCCTCCAATTAACATTAAACATGGATACGAATCCATAGACATTCTTCCCTATGTTTTTTGTTTGCTCGATTCTTTCAAGAAAAAAAAAAAAAAAAAAAGAAGTGTCACATGTGATTTGTAAACATCAAGTAGCCGAAAATTCAAAGATTGTGTAGACCGACAAATAGCGCGGAAAAAATGCATTGAAGTGCGGGCGGAATAGACCTAGTTAGGATGAGATGTGGCAGAGTTAAGAAAAAAATTAGTAAATAATTGAGAGTAATGAACAGCAGTTTGTAAGTTTACGATCTCTTTCCCCGGTCTGTTTCTCCTATATCATCTTCATCGCCCATTTCCGTGGATGTCCTTGTTTAGGGAATGGAATCACATTAAAGCTATATTGGCTTACATTATCATTAAGTAAAAATTGTAAGAAGCGGCATTGAGACGTTCTCTTATTAGGAGAAAAAATGGAACAGGGAAAAGGCAGTCTTTATAAAAACATAGCTGTTAAAACAAAACATATTGCTTGATTGTTATAACTTTTACCGCTTGTTGTTAGCCATCAGTCCCCTTACCTTCCGGTCGAAACATCAACTTAATTTAAATATGGTCCATTTGTTCATTGACGAAAAATCCAATTAAATGCGAATTGCAAATAAAGTGGCATCTTTTGAAACAGTACGAAGAAGTAAATTAAAACTTATTAGACAATCGAATGGATTTACCGGAATAGTTTGATGAATGTGATGTCAATGTGAATCGTCTTCCTGGCGGCTTTACTTCATCATTCACGCTTTTATTCAGTGATATTTAACTTGGATAATTAAGTTTTACATGTAGTGTCATATTATCCTAATATGGTCCTACTTGGTTATTTGGATAATTTCATTGCAAGATCTAATCTGTAGAAATTTTTGATTTCATTTCTCCTAGTATTTTAGTACGTTATTGCTTGCTTGATAATAAAATTTTTCATTCCTTAAAAATATTCTATGAATTCGTTACTATGCATCCATAATTATTTTAAGTATTTATGCTTTACTTATACTTTATTGAAACCAAGAATTTCGTATCACCAGTTCATCGATAAACGATCATCTACTGTACCGTATCATATTAACCTTATCATATTCTTTCTCATTCTTCTCTTAAAAACCCCTCGTTTACTAATTTATATATATAAAAAAAAAAAAGAGTAATATAATAAGACTAATTTGATATGATATGGTTAGCGATCACTTGTTGATGGATGGTGATAAGGAAAATGATTTCGCGGGTCAAAATTTAATTGTTTTATCGACCAATATCAATTTGCTTCTTTAGGTAATCCAATGAGAGATGATCGTAGTAATTAACTACAATTCTAAATCTCACATGACTGGTAGCAATGACCGTTTTGCACTGTTCTACACCATACCGTTCATTGATGCCTCAGGAATTGTGCTATCTAGCATATTATGCAATCAGCAGTTGTGTGAAGCAAAGTCGACTAGCAGTTGCAAGCAACCTCTCGGTCTGGCGTGACCACCGCTTCTCCACAAACATTTACAGACAGACAATTTAACTTTACGGAGACCGATACTGACGTACACACATACACACACATACATATACAGAGGGACGAGCAGCAAGGGGAGCATTAAGCACAGACAGCATAAGAGGATGCAATTCCCCTTTTACTAGCTGTCAAGTCGCCGCCGATTCCATTTTTCTTGTTGGGTTTCTTCCTCTTTTTTCCCAAATTCATTGTAGTGGGATGGATGGTGCGAAGATTGGACCAGTATAGCTCCTAGTGGAATGGGTCTGAACTAGAAATAAACCAGGATTAGGCTAAGACTTAAGACTCTGCTCCTGCAACATGTCATTTCTTGTCCACCCCCTTTTTACTTTTCATTTATGCCGAACTGCGAAGAGGCTTTTCTTGATATGATGCATTTCAGTTTCAATGTTCCAACTCTTTTCCATTTGTTTCATTTTTCAAAATTGGTTCATTCATTGTTTTTGTGCTCATTTGGCTAAATGAAAGTATGCTTGGCTTCTTCCTCAACTGCTTATTTAAGGCCCATCCAACTACACTTATTTCTGGTCCTCTCTTACTGTATCCACTATTTTATCAACTATATTCAAATAAAACATATAATAATAATAATAATAATAATAATAATAATGATAATAACGATAATAATGATAATAATAATAATAATGATAATAATGTTAATAAATGATAATAATAATAATAATAGCAAAGATAATGTAATGAAAAAAATAGATTAAAAAATTGAATTTATGGTTTTTAAAATTTTTTTGGATTTTATAAAAATTGAATTTATGGTTTAAATTATATAATTTTAAAATTTATTTGGTAAGAATTTTTTATCAAAAAGAATTTTTTTTTAGATTTTTTATTTTAGGTACAAAATTATGTACAAAATTTATGGGCTTTATTACAACAAGATGATGAAGTATACAATGGTATCACAGAGTGTGCAGCTACTTTGATTGGTATGTAAATAGAATGAGCGATTCATTTCTATCAATTATTTCATTCTCATACAATCATTATTCATTTCATTCTGACCTTTAATGATTCAATAAATAAAAATGTAACATATGTAAAATGAAAAAAAAAATGATAAAAATTTGAGATAAAAATTTGTTACAAATTATTTGATTTTAATAATTAAAGATTAGATGGTAATAATAAAATTATCAAAATTAATGAACATTTATTTTTATTAAAATTGTACAATTGGCAATTATATTTACTTATTATTGATTAAAATTTCAATAATTAATGATCATTTTACTTATCATTTATTTTATCTGTTAAAAAAAAAAAAAAAGAAAAGAACTGTATAAGATTGCAAGCATATGTCAACGATCATGAAAGTGTATGTTTTAAATTTATCAAAAAAAAAAAAATCATGAAAGTGTATGTTTTAAATTTTTTGAAAAGTGTATGTTTTGAAAATGTATGTTTTAAATTTATCAAAAAAAAAAAAAAAATAGTAATAACAATAAATATCATTCCATTAGCATATTGACATCTCAACATCTATAAGTAACAAATTCAAATTTTAGCATCAAAAATTATGATTATACATTTATTTAATTAGCTAATGGAATAAAATAATCCAATTGAAATTTTCAATGTATTATAACTAATGCTAACATATTTCAATGTAATTTTTGATTAAAGACTATAAAGGTTTAAAAATTAATGGTTTAATTTAAAAAAAAAACAAAGAAACATTTATTAACAGGTGCAATTGTTGTTTCCTTGTTCAATATTTAAAAATTGATTGGGCAAAAAATGGTGAATTGGTATTATGGATCAATTCGATGATTATCGCCATATTACTAATTATGATGTCACAAACGAATAGTGTTTTTATCGCTTATATCCTATATGTCGCATTTATAACAATTTATCAATTACTTATAACTACAGCAATGTAAGATAAATACATTTGTATTAATATTTAAAAAATAATTTTAATTAAATAATCATCAATTCTTTTTATTTTAACATTTAATAATGAATGCTTATCATTTTGATAATAAATGATGAAGTAATAATTTCTTTTTTTTTTATCATAGTTTAAAAAAATTTCAATACTTTATTTTATTGATTAAAAAAAAACGATCAAATTATCGTTTACATTGCTTTTTGTAATAATTTCAAATATTTTTAAAAAAAAATCGTTTTTTTCGTCTTTTTTTTGTATTTTTAAATTTTACATTTGTAATATGAAATTTTGCATTTAAATTTGGAAAAAGTTCTACTAATTAAAATTTGATTAAAAATTTTATATAATAGAAGAAATATTGGCAAAAAAAAAAAATTAAATTACAGTATGAATATTGCAACAGAATTAACAACAGCAACATATGGTTTTGTATTTGGTTCCAGTACATTTGTTGCACTACTTCTGCAAACAATCCTAACATTAATTGTTGTTGATGAACATGGCCTAGCACTTGATATACGTACACAGGTTTCATTTTATTTCAAAATTTTATAAGATAAAATTATTTGACAATAAAATTTTTATTCAAAAATTATATTTCACTTAACTATTTATTTCACTTCATCCTTTTTTTTTTGTTTTTTTTTTGTTTATATTCCTTAATCCTCAATTTTTATACCATTTAAAATTACCTTACTATTTTTATGTCATTTAAAATTGCCTTAATATTTTTATATCGTTCAAATTTACCTCACTATTTTTATATCATTTAAAATTACTTTAATATTTTTATATCATTTAAAATTACTTTAATATTTTATATCATTTAAAATTACTTTAATATTTTTATATCATTTAAAATTACTTTAATATTTTTATCATTTAAAATTACTTTAATTTATTTTTATATCATTTAAAATT